GGCTCTGTGTGAGCTGTGACCGCACTGCAAACCCTGGGGCCACAGCAGGATCTGCACCATGTGCCTTCCAGTGAGGCAGAGAATTCCTGAATATTTAACAGCAATATTGCACTATTTGCTTCTGCTTTATCCTGATCTTTAGATTATGAAGGATGATTCATCAATACCACCCTTCCCCAGGAAAAACTGTAGCCCCTGAATAATTATTTTTCAGTCAGTTTTCATTTCAATTGCCAGAAATTATTTTTCAGGTTTTTAATGATAAGAATTACTGTTTAATAACACTTTGGGTTGGGGGGGAGGGGGAGTGAATACACCAGATGGAGCTGTCTCCCTCAGACTCTGTGTGATTCTGTGACAGAATATGTGTTTGTATTTGAATTCCTTCCAAAGAAAAACTTTTGCAGTATGTTTATAATATTTTCAGTGAATCTGCTGGAGGGAGAATAGACCAAAGAAATTAATACAGAAAGAAAAAAAGGAAACCATGTAACTATAGCATTATGTTATCTAACAGGCCATAAAAGTATAAATACAGGGAGCGCAAAAACTTTCTCTAAGCAAGAAGTAAATCAAAAACATGAGCAAAATCTTGTGAACTTTGAGAATTTCACAACAACATTAAAAGTAAGCCAAATTGCTTTTTATATAAATCCTTAATTTCAGCAGTGCTTGAAGATCTATAGATTTAGAGATATTAAAAAATACCTTATCGTAACCTTTTTGTTTCAAAGCAAGAAATGACTCTGTTTTTCTCCAAAATTCCCCCATGTTATATACTCGTTTATTTATTTATCTATTTTAGTCAATGAGAAGACTGCTACCTTAGTTTTCTTGCATATAAAAGTCCTTTTGGAATACTGCTGGAGCACAAACTTCTGGAAAAGGTATCAGCACAGTCAGGAGATCATTATTATACTTTGAGACTGGCACTGCAAGTAAGAGCTTCTGTTTTTATTGAAACATAAAGATTTCATGCTAATAAATGAGTACATATTGTAGAGTACAATAAGGAAGACAGTGGCAGCTGTGCCATTAACTTTAAAGCTTATAGTTAAGACCAATCTTAATTATATTGTTGCTTTAAAGTAATAAACAGTTTTGTAAAGCAAACTAGGAAGGAACAGGATTCTGGAAGTGCAGCAAATTTAAAACTAATTTTATTGTTGCAGTGTCACTGTGCTAATTTTTTTTTTCTGCCTTGAGAAATGAGGAAGGATTGAAGTAAAGGTTAATTTTCTTTTTAAGTACTAGGCTGAACTCATACATAATGTAATTTAATTGGAATTTCACTGAAGACAAATTTCGTCCATTATGTCAGGCTTGTAAAATGTGAAATGAAAATGAATTAACAAACCTTGAACTTAGGCTACATCATAAATGTTTTGAGGTAAAAGGAATGGATTGCAGTGGGAAATGTTTCGGGTGAAACCTTGTCTACATGTAGGTTAGTGGCAAAACTCCCATTAATATCAATAGCAGTAAGATTTCATCTTTCAGATCTTACAGTAGCCTATTTGGAAGGTCATTCTTCATTCAGGACACTTGTTTTAATGTATTGCTAAAAAGAAATGCCCTTCTCCATGCAAAACAAGGGGTATAAAGTCAGAGTTACAGACCATTAGCTAACACACTAATTACAATTGTCATTAAAGTACATCTTTCTGTGGTTGTGAATGATCCGAGAGATGCTTGATGTTAGTGATTTATAGAGTATAAAAGGTTGGGTGACCAGATCTAAGATGGTCTGAATTATTATTGATTCATTCAGTAACAGTTGACTTTTATAGTTAATAGCCATCATTTAATTTGATAGGCTTTGGAAATGTGGGAGCTGAACATCCCTTTTAAAGGGAAATCAAAATATTTATCTGGCCAAGGTACAGAGACAAATTTCCCACCACAAGCAGATGTGTATACTTGAAAACAGCAGGGCATGGACATTCATAAGTATTGACAGGCATCCCCATATGCTAGATAGTGCAGTTTCCTGGGTAATGGAAGAGAGGCAGAGTGGAAGCTTGCATAGGGATAACAAGGAAGAGCACCATATTAGGGGCTCAGTGCACTCAGCAGCCTTAAACTGTGCTGTGACTGCATCTCTTCTGCCTTATCCTCAGTTAGAACCCAGAACTTAGTTTATTTGTTGTTTATTTGTTGGTTGGTTTTTGGTTGGTTGGTTGGTTTTGGTGTGGGGTTATTTGTTTGTTTTGGTTTGGTTTTTTTCTTTTCCTAGAAAGGAAAAGAGATTTATTTCTTTGAACAAAGGATTCTCCTCCACGTTAGGAAAAGAAAGTGCCATCTTTTGATCCCTTGCCTTATTGTGTGTCAAGCAACTCATATTTAGTATTTTCTGGAGCATCTCACTCTGTTTCCTTGTGAAAGAGAGAGGCTCTAACTAATGGAAGAAATTCTTCATACTGACAGACAGAGCTTCCCAGAAAATAAAATGAATCTTATAAACTGGCTGCCTTCTCTTCATAAAATGCTGGATATCAGCAGAATTTATTATTTGATCAATGCTCTCTGGACTTCACAAAGCTGCTGGCTGGTTCTATCTGTGCACCTTATTCACTGCTGCTTCATTCTCTCTCTGTTATTTCCCTATGTCATTACATTCCTTTGTGCGCTGAAAACAATTTGACAAAGACCAAAGTACTCCCCCACAAGATTAATTCTGCAACTAAGTCTCTCTTCCGTACAACCTGATGCTAGTGGTACAGGCTGATTTTCCTGCTAAGGCTGTGTGGAAAATGTCACTGTGAAGGAGTAGCAGGTGACATTCACCATTAGTGCAGCCTGGATATGGGGTACAAACTCTGATTAACTCTGGTGATTAAGTAGCCTACACATTTAGGTATTTCTCAGTGGTTACCCCTGTGCAGTGTACCATCATTTCATTTTAATGTAGTAGAGTTAACTGAAAAAAATGAAAAAGGAATTTTAATGCTTACATTTTTCTCATATCTGTAGTTGTTTCTTCCCATGGCTACAAGCTATTTTTGAGGTCGTGAATTTCTAGGATTGCTTGTTCTACACTGTAATCACTATTGATGAAACTTTAAGTTTGTCCCATAGCCTATACAAATAATGTCTCCCCATCTGGTTTTCCCACCTAAACTCAGTATCAATTCTGCTCATGTTCTGCTGCTGATAGATCATCTTTATAGTTCTCATGCAAGCATCATTATATTCCCCTAAAATCAGACTATAGTAATTACTCTTTTCTAAATTTTTTTGCTGTTTATTTCTATTCAAAGTTTTTTCTGTTGTTATACATAATCAAGTCCCGTTAATTAAATGCATAACTCTTACTGATTAACAAAAATGCCCAAATATCTTTGCTAAGGTAGGAACAGGATGGTTATGTCCAGTCTATCACCCTCTTAAATGCATGGATTTTCTGCATTAATCTTGTGCACATCACAATGCCAGGAAATTTTACATGTAGGGCTTTTGTTCTTGGTGTGCCTGTGTACCAATAAAGAGAGCAACTTATTATATATTCTATTCAGTAACATTCTGTTTGTTCACAGTCTTTGCAGCTGGCACTATCATTTCTAGCAGTATATTAGCACTAATCAATCATAGTTTCTATGATTTAAAATCAATTTTAAAAGATAATTTATTAATGTGTGCAAAAGTGGATGAGTTGTGTTGTTGATCCTGACTGAAACCCATTTTGGGTATTCCCAAGAGTGGTCTTGCACATAAAATAGCTTTCTTCCTTTTAGTGTATACTATGAAAACTGCCATATAATTCACTGCTCCTTCTGCTGTGCAAGCAAATGCCTTTTGTGTGTGTGTGAATACTGTTATTTAACTACTTTGTATCAAATACAAAGGCAATTTAGCATGAAATTATACGTGGGGGCTGTGGTTGTGAAGGCACATACACATGTTTATAGGTTTGCCTTGTGCAGATGCTGGCTGGTTTTATGTCTGCATCTTTGGATACAGGGCAGAAAGGGCTCATCATTCCATTATTGGAGTGAAAATTTCTTCTGTGTATCTTTGTGATACTTTTTGTTCTTGTTGAACCCTTTCCCTGTGGCTTTTGGATAGTGCAATGCCATACATTTTTGACAGATCTGCCAAAAGTTTTCAGACAAAATGACAAGGAGCAAAAACCACACAGAAATGCTGAGAAGTATGTGTTTTCCAAAACTATTTCAGATTTGGCACTTTTAATGAAAGCAAAGGAATTAAAGGGTTATAAAGCAGCATAAAAACAGTGCAAGATTGTCTTTTTCCAGGTCCTCACTGGTCAGGACCAGAGAAGAGAAGGCTGTATAGAGACCCATAGCAACCTTCCAGTATCTGAAGGGACCTACAGGGAAGCCAGAGAGGGACTCTTAGGAGCTGCAGTAACAGGACAAGGGGCAATGGGTACAAATTGAAACAGAGGAGGTTTAAGCTAGATATTAGGAAAAAGTTTTTTCCTGTGAGGGTGGTGAGACACTGGCACAGGATCCCCAGGGAGGGAGTAGATGCCCCAACCCTGACAGTGTTCAAAGCCAGGTTGGATGAAGTGCTGAGCAACCTGTTCTGGTGGGAGCTTTGTAGTTTTTCAGTCTTACTGTATGAACAGTAGATGCCTTTTTGAAAGATTTTTTTCTTTTTAAATGGCAATGCCATTGAAAACTCCCTGCAAGAACTTACTGCAGAAAATGAGAAATCCCAGTAATCACCACATAAACTGGTACTGTCAGTGCAGCCAATGTGAAATCACATGTTTTACCTAGGAAGATGGCAGGAACATTATTATTCTATTGCCTTACCTTTAAAGTTACATATTTTGTGCTCATGAAATATATTGTTTGTATTTTTAAGATGTTTGACAGTGTGTCACCAACCCTTTTTTTTCTTTCCTTGTTAGGAACAACATCAATCTCTTCCTTTGAATACACCTGAACTGGAAGTGCCATCATTTATTGCAAGACAAGTATCTCAGTATTCGTGTCAAAGGAAGACAACTTTAAATAACTACAACAAGAAATTCACGGTATTACTTGTTCTATCCATGAAACCAAAACTAATATAAGTAAAATAATTAATATAGTACTGGCATCAGTATTTTTTATGGCACCCTCAGCAAATTTATGGGTAAACAGGCAGCAAAATAACAATTAGAAGAAGATATAAATCTGCCATACTTAAATTAAAATTGAGTGCAGGCTTAATTGCATCCTTTAAGTACTGCTGAAAGCTTAACACAGTGGATCTTTAAATACTCTAATAGCTTGTAAACACATGAATTTTTAAAACAAATGATAGAATAACATTCTGAAAATGTCTTTTAGCCTCTCATCACAGTCCTATTGAACAAGCTAGAAGTGATGATATGCAAAAGTTTGGTTTATTTCTGTCCAAGGTGCTTCACAATTGCTGTGCTGCCTTACTGCCCAGGTGTTTGGTTCTTCCAAGTGTGGTTCTAAGCTTTAAGTTTTCACACTTTCTTATTTATGAAAACAGATTGCATGATCAATGTAATTACTTTAACATGACCAAAAAAACCCCTTGAATTGTCTAGTTAAATAGTAATCTTGGACACTGTTGTATATCCTGGTTAGTGCTCATAACATTACACTTTTTGGTGGGTAATAAAGAGTCTGAGTCCTTTGGTCTAAATTCCTGTTAAGTTATTGTGCCCTATGGCTCCTCTTGACTGGCTCTAGACACTTAGTGACCCCTATTCAAAAGGAAACATTTGCCAGAGGCTTTAATGTAGTGTAGTCTGAATACATCTGGCATAGTTACATTCACATGTTTCAACTACAACATGAAACATCTCATCTTTCTAAAGCTTTATTACCTATTTTGTATTATTTGTAGTTTTTATGATTCTGCTTTGTGTGCTCCTATAAATATGCCCAAATCTTTCACGTAAATATTATTTCTAAAATCCACATTAAAAGAATCACAACAGATATCAGTTATTTGTGAATAGAAAACATTTAGAAGGTAAACACTAAAACTTCTGGGAATTCAGAACTAAAAATAAACCTACAAGCAACTCCAAAATATCTTAATCTGCAAAGACACAGTTAAAAATTAAGCATCTTAAATTTTGCCTTGTAGTGATGCTTTGAAATAATCATCAATTGTATCAATTATATAATAGTGTTTACAGTACTGAAGTAGGTTAAACTGTTTGTTTATTCAAGAAAATATCTCTTTTTGAGCAAAGTAATGAGAATTGAGTTTTGATCCTGTTCTGAGCCTGAGCTTGGACTAGAGACCACCTGTGGTGCCTTCTAACCCCCATGATGCCAACATCCCCCAAACTGCTTCTTTTGAAGTGGCTGTTGTGTCCCACCTTCTGCTAGAAAAAACAGGGCTGTGAATGTTACCATTTAACCTCTTGGAAGCAATTATTCTATTGCACTGTTTACAAATATCAAATACAAGTTGCTGTAGGGGAAAATGTCAGACCAAAGATGGCATAACTGACAGATTATGTAAAATACGAACCTTCTTGGTGAAGAAGGAATTAAGTGTTTTAGTTGTACAATTCCTGAAAAGGTGGAATGTGGCAGTCTGGCTCCCTGTTGAATTTTCTATAGCAATATGTCCTACATAGATATATTAATATGATATTTCTATATATAAAAGTAATTGTGATGGATAATACCAAAGTACAATGGTTGCTCCTAGAAGGCACAAAGTTGTAGACTTGAAATTATCATTAACGTTTTGAGCATATTCATTGAATGGTTTGTTATACCTCTGTCTCACAGAGGCAGCCTCTAAATTATATCCAGGTTTATCATTGCAGCAGTCTTAATGTCAGAGTACAACTTGTATTTGATAAATGAATTTAGCTGAGCACATTAGAAGCAGTGGAGTTTGATGACTGGAGTACTGAGACTCCCTTCTGTTATCCTATATATCAAACATTTCTGAGTCTGGGTAGAAATTAGGTTTTGTAGTGACAAAGGTGTCAGTTTTTCATCTTCATTCTTTGAGAATAACTGTTCTGAGTTCATGCTGTATTTTATTTTTGGAAGTGGAACTGGACAAGTTGATAATGTGTGTAAGTCTGTCTAGCATCTCCACCTTGACAGTAGTAATGGAACTCCTTAGGGCTATTGCTTTTATTCTTTGCAACCAAAGCTTGCAATGACAGCTGAAGGCTTGGGTGTTTATGGACTGCCAGAGCTTGCCCATTACCTGGAGACCTGCAGTTAGTCTGCCTAATGTCACAGGAGCCTGAATTTTAGATTTGCTGTTGTTTTGTCAGCCTTGTATTAAACCTGTAATTCACGTTCTCAAATAAAAGTGTTCCAACAGATTTTTCAGTGCAAGCACTTAGCAAATGCACTGAAGCATTGGTATAATTCGCTTGTGCATGCTGTGGGCAGCCAACCATTAAATGACAGATTTTCCCTGCCTCAATACCATACATCTTGAAAATTAGGTCCAAACCATCTTGAATTATGTGTTGATGGTAGTATTTTGTTATAACAGCTTCATTCTCTGAGCCAGAGTGGTTCCCTTTCCTTACAGATTTTTCTGTGTTCTTTGCTTAGCTTGACCAAATTGTTTTCTGATCTTGTGTATGACAGGGATACAGAGCTATTATTTGCTTATGCATTCTTGGATGAACTCTTGGATTCTTCCTTTTACTGGACTTTGCCCTGATATACTGTATCAAACTCCTCTTTCAAATAAGTAGTCGTTGTGTTTGACAAAGTGTAGTAGTTAGGTTTGAAGAGTCACCAATAGGCACTGATGTGTGTACAACAAGGATTCAGATGTGCTGATTTCTTGGGAGAGGCACTTCTGGGGACTTGATTTCTGGAGAAATTGATAATTAGTGATCAGTTTTAATCTTGAGTCCTGTTCTGCATGTATTTCATTGTGCAAGAGCACTTATTAAAGTCAAATAGCAGAGATAGTTTATGAGAGCTCATGAAGAAAATGTGGTGGTTTAACACACTAGATGCTATTTCTCTGTTCAGCTGTCTCATGTTTCCTTTCTATTGTCATAGCCTGTAATAACTTGCAGAAAGTTGCAACAAAATGGCTTTACACCATGGAAGAAGCTACAAGAAGGGTTGATAAAAACTGTGGAAATGTCAAGGTTTCATTATTATGTTCAGTGTGGGGCAAATCCTAGACAATTATTTTTTTATGAGCTGTTGAGTAGTAACAAGACTTGTTGTGCCAAGAATAGACTAAGTATGTCAAATTGCATGCCAAGGAGGAGACAGTGGCATTGTATGTCAGTTCGTGGCGTAGAAAGGCTTCAGACTTGGGCTTCACATGATCTGTGTCTCTGTGATCTCATGGTACATAGGCTGAGAACCACTGCCACAGGCTTTATTGATTTGGGTGTTTCAGGAATGCACTTGAACACATAACCCTGAATCCACAGGTGAAGCTGTTCAGGGGGATAAAGCTGCAAAAGAAAAGAGCAAATCCTTTGACTGGAGTCTGTTTCGTAGCATGTTTCCTTTATGTTTTTCACAAACAGTAATGTTATTATGGAATATATTATTACAATATTGTTCTGTGGCTCATTTGGAGCTAGCCTCCTTCTCCCACTGAAAATATACACTTGGGGGCTGAATTGTGTTTCCTTGTGCAAAAATAAAAGGAGTCATTCTGCTGTGCCTGAGAGGGGTTGTTGGATTTGAATATTAATACCAGACTGCAATAAAATTCAGGAAGACATTCTTCTGTGAGGAAAATACAATTTAATTCTTACAGAAGAAACTAATTAAGTCAGAGGCAAATGGTTCTGTGATTCTGAGGCTTATTGCTAATGCTGCTGAATGTTACTTTGCTTTGGCTGTTACTCATGGTAATGAGAATGTGGATGTTTAGCATGGGAAAGATGCCTAGTTTCCTTTCCACTCTGTTAGAGAAAAAATATTCCCTTTTCAGTTTTCTTATTTTGTATCTGCAGAAACATGTATCAGTTGTGCCAGTGGCTCAAGCAATTATTATTATTCCATTTTAAAACAGACCTCAGGAGAACCTCAACTTTAGTTTTATAATGAACTTGGGGCTATATAAGTAGAAAAGCACTAACTGAATGGATATTCTTAATAACATGTAGTGCCTTACTGACATAGCTTACTTCAGTCCAGACTGGACCTCAAAATTGCTAATTTTTTAAATGTATGCAAAGTATATACCTATTCAAAATCAACTGATGGCTTGGTTAAGGAATAAATATCTCCTCATTTTAAGGTAAGCGGGAGGGTGCGCCCTAAAATACACAGAATGTAAATACACCTACACCTTTCAGCAATCCAAATTTGTATGTATATAGCAAACCTATGTTGCTTTCTTTGTCCATGTTAGTATGTGCAATATACATTTTGTATTTATGTTTCTTACTACACCATGTGTTTTTTATCTAGGACAGTATTACGTGATGAACACTCTAACTGCAGTTTTGTGCTGTGTCAGCAGATCTTATCTCAGAATTCTATTCTTTTACGTTATGTGGAAAAATATGGAAATCTCTCAAGAGTTCCACTCTGTTTTATGAAATGAACTAGTTATGATTGGTTATTATGAGGAGCAGCTGGACCAAACATATTTCTTTCTAAGAACAATGTGTATACAAGGATCCTGAGATTGTGCACATTATGCTGTTGCTATTACTGTTCTCATTCTCTCATTCCTTTGTTTCTCCAGCAGATGTAAGATAACATGATGAAATCTTTGGATCTGGGCAAGTGTTGTGCTTTTCAGTTCAAATACAATAAAAAGAACATTCAGACAAAGACATATTTTTTATTTTATTTGGAATCACGTTTGTCAGCATTACAGGGTGGCTCAAGTTGTTCAATTCTCCTTGAAATATGCACCTGAAAGTATTTATTTTCTCTCTCGGTCTATACAAAAGGTATTCCCATGCCTTATATCTCTTCCCATTGAAACATGAAGTTAGGACTTACACTGGGCAAAAAAGAGAAAAAATAGTTTGAATGAAAGGCACATTCCAAAACTTGGGTCAGTTTTGAATTGACACCAAACACTGACAACACTGACATGATAAGAACTAGGACCCATCCTTTGGATTTACAAATTGCTAAATAAACTTCAAGTAGCAAACAGTGAGAGGAAAAACAATTTAAAACAAATTGCTGCTCTAAATATCATAGTTTTTCAAACAGATATAATTTTTTTATCACACTTTGCTATTTAGTTATGGATTAAATTTACCTGTACAGTGGTATGTTAATAGTTCTTTTATTTGTGCTGCAGTGGCATTTGCAGGCTCAAGTAAGATAGGGGCCTTTTTATAAGAGATGTTGTACAAAAACACTGTAAAAGACAATTGAAGCCTTGAAGTGTTCACAGTCCTAACAGAGAGCAAATGAAATACAGCAGGAGAAACAATGTCAGAGAGGTCTGAAGCAGCTTTCCATGGCCTTGCAGCAGAGGAGTTATGAGTGTGGACATGAGAATAAGGCAAGTGCTCTGTCCATGAAGCTGTAATAATTTCTTTACAAAACAGATTAAAAAACAGGTTTAAAATATGGGGTTTAGTGGGGTAGTATTGTGATGTCTGTTCTGGCAGAGTCTTAAACTGAGTTTCTTAAAGATTATTTTGCAAGTAGCAATGGATCTGCTCTGACAGTTGTGTGGAAACAAGCAGGATAGTATGAAGGATAGCATGGGACCTTTGGTTTCTTTTGCTTTTCTGCATGACTTGTACTCCAATATTCATGCTAAGCATTATTGGGTCAGTTGTTCAGCAGACAGAAACCAGCATAGCCTTATTGATAATTTTTTTTTCCTCCTGAGAATCATTCTCATGTTAGTTAGGAATCTTCCTCTTTTTATTGGTTTCACTTTTGTGCTATTTAGCATTTATATATTTAGTGTTTAGTGTGCATTTTCACATGTATAAATTGCTTATTAGTAACTTTGCATTGTTAATGATATTTCATCTTCTTAGGTCTTAAATACCAGATATTAAATGAGCTACAAATTTTCTCTCTGCATCTATCATTTTTGTAACACAGTTCAACAAAATCTTTGTGTACTTTTGGATCAACCCAATGCGATCTGGAAGCCCAAGCAATCCCCAAATTTTTCCATAGTCACCAACACACGTTCCACAAGTTCAGACATAAAAGCAAAGTTTGCAGTAACTTGAGGAACTGAAATGTAGCCCAACTATCTTTCAGATGTAATTAGAGCAGACTCTGCAGAATACCCTGAAGATTATTAAAATTATGTGCCAGAAATCTTTGGAAATTTAGTTTCGTTTTCCACTAGTATTTTTTAAAAAGGAAATCTGCATATTGATCTGATTGATAAAGTGATGATGAGGTGCTTAATGTAAGAAACATGAAGGTTTAGAAGAAACGAGGGGTCAGTATCATTTCTTTTTATATCACCATAAGTAGGCTTCACCAGAGATCTATTAGATTGCAAGACTTTGCTCACCTACTATAAGAGTTTGATATGCTTTTCCCCTCTGGAATATTATTGAATATGAATGATACTATTCAATAGAAACTCCATTTGCTTTCTTTAAAAAAAATAAAAAGTTTTTATCAAAAAGAATATCAAAAGGAGTTTCATGTAAAAAGATCTGTAATTAGTTGCAGCATTTGCAGGCAATGTTTTGTACAGGGAATAATGAATATTCAATACTATTTAATTGTTTATTTAAAACAGCTTAATGAGCTTCACAAAGGCAGGAAAACACTGAAGAGTGCAAACTAGAGTCATAAAAAATGTTTTGCTTATATTTTCTCATTGATTATCTACAGCCCCTGAGTCAAATGCTCCATGTGAATGTTTTTTTCAGTAGTGATGGTGACACAGCTTTTCTGGAAACTGCCCTCCTGCTAGTAGGAAGGGGCTAATGCCTCTCCAAAGCAGCAGTGGTGCTGGTATATGCAGACACATTTATTGTGATGGCTGATTATTTGGTGTAGAATCCATCTATTTAGATGTTCATGTGTGAGGCTGCCTGTTGGGAGTGAGAATAAAACATCCCTAGACTTTTTGAGCATCCTAATCATGAAGATAACTTTGCCACTCTCTGTCATTAAAACATACTGCTGAGCAGCTGCTTTTGAGAACTATTTTCTGGCTATGTTTATCTGTATGGACTATTTTAATAAGAAGGTAGTTCTGCCCCTGATTAATGCTGTTAGTGTTAACTGGAGGAAGAAATATCTTGCCAAGCACTACTCTCTTGAGTATTCATGTGTACAGATTATGAAGAGGGAAATAAAAGTAAAGTAAGCAAAAATTAACATCTTCTATTGCATAGTAAGAAAGAATCTTTGAAGATGATAAAGAATAAAAAGAGTAAGAACATGGGAGAACATCTAAAAAACCTCATAGCAGAGGAAATATCTGACTCCTGTCACCCCAATGGTAAAATATACTTCCCCATTTGCTTTGCAGCACAGTCTATGCTTGTTTTTTCTTCCATATACAAACTCAGATGAATCCATGGTTCTCATGGCCTCAAATTGGTAGTTTCACCTTTTTTTTCTGCATTAGTTTTTCTAAATGGAAACTATAATGTTCACCTGTCTTTACAAAAAAAAAAAGTATGTAATTACGTACAACCTAATCTGTCAAGTAAATAAAGATCTTAAATGTGGAAAAACGAATAATAGTTGAACATATCTAACAATTAGCCACTGCAAGAGCTTTAAAGACAACTGTTAGGAAGTTAAGATTGTGTACTATTTTTATAATAGATTGTATTTTTTTTTATTTTTTTTGGGGGCAATTTTCTTTCAAAGGAGCTTTCTCTTCTCTCCCTTTGATTCCTGATACCCAAGGGCTAGTTGAATGTAAATGGCAGTTGAAACTTCCAGATCAAGCAAGTTGCTAAACAGCTGTCTTTCTTGTGACGTCTTTCATGAGATGCCATCAAAATGGAATTGCACAGTCCTTACTAATCAGGATAGCTGATAAATAAATATGCAGCTAAGGGGAGGATTCTTCCAGTGATACAGAGAACAGGTAACTGATTCTTAGAGAGGTCAAGGGGTGAAGTTATACTGGTGATAAAAAATAAAAAAATTCTCTGTAGCAAGTCCTAATTAATTATTTTATACATTTTAACATGTTAATACAGGAGAAACAAAAAGGAGAGTGAAATGGTTTTGTTCAGCTATGGTACTTTTTTTTCTAAAGAGATACTTTCAAACCAATTGAAATATAATATTTTTTTTTCATTAAGAGGAAAGTTTTGCAAATCCTATGCTCAGTAGGGACAACATTTTCTTGAAGATTTTGAGTAAATGCTTAATTTTGCTTCCATGAGACTATAATGCTTTATAATCTGAAAAACACACTATGTTAGATGGTCTATTTTTCTAAAATTGACCAAAGAATGAAATGCAACATGTAAATAATCTACCTTCATTGTGAAAGATACATTTAATTTTAAGTTCTATTTTAATGTTCTAAATGTTGATAGATCAAGTATAATGTTGTTGATTAAATCATAGTATCATAGTATGTTAAGGGGTTGGAATGGACCTTAGAGATCATCCAGTGCCAACCCCCTGCCCTGGGCAGGGACACCTCCCACCAGAGTAGGATGCTCAAGGCTTGATCCAGCCTGGCTTTGAACACTGCCAGGGTTGGGGCAGCCACAGCCTCCCTGGGCAACCTGTGCCAGTGTCTCACCACCCTCACAGCAGAAAGTGCTTCCTGATATCTAATCTAACTTTCCCTCTTTCAATTTATACCCATTACTCCTTGTCCTATCACTACAGTTCGTAACAAATCAGACTTTATTCCTTCAATGCAGCATGACAAGTGCCTTTCTCAATTCCACAGATATAATAGGAAGTAATTTTCACTGGATTTGCTGTCACATGAGTTAGTGGGCTTGGGACAGACTCACACAGTGATACTACAAATATTTAATATTTATTATTTTGCATCATTTGTTCCATCCGAAAAACTGCCACTACACCACTGTGTGGTCTGTTCCCTGCATTTCATTTGAATGGATTGAATTCATTTGGTGAGACACTGGCACAGGTTGCCCAGGGAGGCTGTGGCTGCCCCAACCCTGGCAGTGTTCAAAGCCAGGTTGGCTAAAGCCTTGAGCAACCTGTTCTGGTGGGAGGTGTCCCTGCCCAGGGCAGGGGGTTGGGACTAGATGATCTCTAAGGTCCATTCCAAGCTCTAAAAATTCTATTATTCTATGATTTCTAAAAATTGATGTTATTAATATATATGTATTCACATATATCTCCTTCCGGGAGAAAGACCTCAAAGCTGCATAAATTGCATATGGATTTAAAAAAAATTTATACAGACATTCTCCAAGTAGTTTTGTGTGCTGTGTCAAATAAACCAAACCATAGATAGCTGAAGAACCATAAAGAAAATGTGTTTCTCTTTGCATAGGTCATACATCTGAAAAATGAGGGAAAAGAGCATTTGTTTCTAAAATTACTAAATAGAAGCATGGCTACAAGTTCAAAAAGAAGGTGATTTCTCTTACTGCCACAGACTCCTATTTAGCTCTGTCTGAAAATGGAGTTGTTGCATACTGACCTGCTGGATTACTTTTTGTTGGGCACAATTCTAGTTCACATTGATTTATTAAATAATCCTAGAATGCAGAAACCATATTTCACAAAAGCTTTTCAAGTTTGTCTCTGCTACAGGTCAAAATATTTTCTTACTTTTGTCTCTAGAATGCAGTTTTTCTGACACCTGGAAAATTTCAAGTGGTTAGAAAATTAAACTTTTTTTTTTTTTTTTTTTTTTTTAAATGAACTCTATCTTTTCACCCCAGTGCAAAGAATTCATTCTTGAATTAGCATACAATGTAACTTTTCTAAGGAGTATACTGAATATTTTAAGCCTTTATTAACCTTTTACTTTTTTCCTGTACCTCCCTTCTGCCCCAGGATGCCTTTGAGATAATGGCTGAAAATTATGAGTTCAAAGAAAATGAAATATTCTGCCTGGAATTTCTGAGGGCAGCTTCTCTGCTGAAATCTCTTCCATTTCCAGTAACCAGAATGAAAGATATACAAGGGTTGCCTTGCATGGGGGACCAAGTCAGAGATGTCCTTGAGGTAATGTACTTCTGATTTATCTGCCAATTGATTCTTTTACAGATGTACATTTAGAGGTCACAGGGTGCAGCATTGATACCTGTGTGTATGTACACAACATTCTGTATTTCCTGTAATAACAATATCTTATCCCTGTTACCAAGAATAGAATGATTTCTGGAAACCTTTGGTAGTAACACAAGGTTCTGTCATGGAACCCTCACCCTTAGGAATAAAGGTATCAAGAGAATAAACACCAAGCAATGAATAATGCATTATCAACTTTCCATGTCATTTTCAAAGACTCACTCTGATTTGGATGTGACAGGTTAACTGTTAATAGTTTTGTTCATGTGACTTCTGCTCTTGGCAACATCACTTTGCTCACCTGAATGCTTTATTAGAAATACTATTTTTGCTAAAGTGGTAAATATTTCAGTACTTTAGTGTTAAATCCTACCTTGCTAAGAGATATAGCAGAGACTTTTATCTAGGTAATGGATGAACTTTACATTCTTACTGGAACTTTGAGTATTCCCTGCTTTTTTCTTTAATTCTTAGACCTTTCAAGACATTTCAGGTGTTACTATTTCATCAGGCAGCTGATCAAGAGGTCTCAGCTGTCTGGAGAGGGGTCACTGCTGAGTGTTGTACTTCACCCTGTCTCTTTGTTTGCTTCACTCCACAAGTTAAGAATGTAACTTCTGAAGTGCACTTTGTACCTAATACCTGGGGGCTGGGAATTCAGTTAGGATCCCACAGAAAAATCGGATGATTTGTTGGGGTTTTATTGTGGCTTTTTTTTTTTTTTTGTCTTGATTTTAGTTTTTATCAGACAGACTGGAAGAACTGTACACTCCAGGAAAAAATATTTGTTCTTACAATGCTCTTACTTTTAAGAGAAATAAACTCAACCAAAAAATGAAATCTAATTTTCGGGAGTCTTTGATAGCTTATGATAAATAACTGTTTTCTGGCTGTGAATTAAGTTCTGTGAAATATATTCCATGATCCCAGTTTCTACTTCATCCTTGAGTAAATTTATGAGTAAATAAGGACTGTGAAATTTATCCTGTGGTTCCAGTTTTTCCTTCATCCTTCAGTAATTTTCTGTCTTTAAAGGGATCGCAGAATTTGATCCTGGTGGAATAAAAGAATATGCTTGCTGAGGGTGCTCTTCCTGTTTGTACAGACTGATAAAGCTTTTAGACTATTTTACTAAATCTTATCATTGTGGTAAGAACTTAACAGTGATTTTTTAAATATATTTTTTACAAGCAACATTTTTCTTTGTTCAGGAGGTTATTGAGGAGGGAGAGAGTTCTAGAGTTAAGGAAGTTCTCAATGATGAGCGATACAAGGCATTTAAGGTAAATCCTTTCTGGTGTATTGCTGTTGGTTAAAATTTCCCTCCCTTTAGTAGAACTTAGACATAACCATCAATTTTATTATAAAGGAACAACCGATATCAAGTATAAAGAAAGAAAGGTCTTGGATAAAGAGAAAGGGAGATTGAGAAACTGTGCTGGAGTAAGGAATAATGGTGAAATGATTTTCTCTTTTTAATTAATATGATGCATACATAGTTGCTCTTAAACTTGAACTAAACAATCACTTTTCCCTGAAACCTAATGCAATGCATACTCTGCTGTCAGTTTAATGCAATGTTGGGTTTATTCCTGCCTCAGCTGATTATAATTTTAACACCACACCATCTTATTCTGGCATTAAGAAAATGCCAGGTGAATAAGATGACTCAGATCTATTGTCATTCTCTTTGGTGTGAGGCAGAAGGAAGAGGACTGGAGGTATTTCTTTGTTAGGCAGATTGTAGGTTCAGAGTAACACTACTTCATAGTTGCAGGGAATCTAAACAACATAAATATTGCAGTTCCCATTTCTGAAATATTCATTGAATTATCCACTGGAGATATATAAACTTAACAAATAATTTTTCAATTTTATCTGCAGTTTTAATCCCTATAAACACTCTGTTTCTGTCTTCAGAAAAAATTAGAACAGAGAGTAAATCAAACGGTACTGTTTAATTCTCTCCTCCTCACTTTTACTTGAGCTATCAAAAGGCTCTTCCATTCTCTCTGACCTGCAATACAGGTATGCAAGGATGTCCAGTGACAGTTGTTGATGTTATCTCTAGCAATATTCAGAAAATGTATGATTGAGGATCAGCCATTAAATCTTATATTTCAATGTTTAAAATAATCTCTTGGAGATTAGAATAAAACCCATCTAGAGGGGACAAATTATCTCAAATATATTTTATGCCTTGTTCACATGGAAATTACAACAAACTTATGTGGTTCTCTTGTTAGCTGAGCATAGTCTTGACATTTTGGCTAAAGTGGTTGTAGCCAAATGTTTCCACCAATTTTTTTATGAATTCCTAGGAAAGTTAAGAAGAATCCCATATTAGTGAATTCCTAGATTTTATTGTTTAGCATGGTCCTGGTGACTGCTGCATTACTCATCATGACTTAGAAGATCACTGCTGGCCTCAGGATCACAGTTATCAAATGACTGAAGTAAAGCCTATGTTTTAGATGTAGGTACATGAATTGACATGTTGAGTTTGCCTCCTTATAGAAGTGGATGCTGCAGAGAACAAGTTCATGTCATTCACTTTTGCCAGCTGAAAAAAAAAGCAGTGCCCACATACACAGTTGAAGAAATGGGCTACTTGCACTGCACTGTTGTCAGCATCTCTAAATTGACATCTATAAATATATCAAATGCTAATGGATTTTAGTATGGAAAGAAAAAAATGTGGTGTTTGTTGTCTTTTTTTTTCCTAAAAATTTGGACAGTGACATAGAATCCATTTTCTTTAGTTCTCTATCCCAACATTAATTAACTTGCTTGGAATAGTTTAAACCCAGAACAGACACTTTTGAAAATCTTTTAGTGCCAGAAAAACATTAAAAGATAACAATCTAAGTCTTCAAAAAATGACATTCTTTCATAAGCACCCATGATTCAGACAAAGAATAGGTAATTTCATCCATTTTATTAAAAATGTAGGGTAATTCCTATTTAATATTATCCATGATTTTAATTTTTTTCTCCTTTCTTTATCTTAATTATTTCCAAAGAATTAATCTCTTTAGAAAAACACAAAATAAAGCTAACATGATTGGAATTCAGAGGCTGCAGATTCAATGGAAAACAGCAGTTATTCATGTCTTACACAGCTACTCATTGAATTCTATAAAAGTACAAAGAAACTATTGAGAGCTTCAGTATTGACAAACTGAACATAAAGAATGTGCTCTTGGGCAAGCTTGAAAGTTTTCCCTCTTGCTTTCATATCACTGTTCATCTGAGATATTGATCCACTGAATAATGCTTACAACTGTGACATTTTTGCTTTACATCCTTTCGTGGGGAATAATTTAGTCTACAAAATTACTTTGCAATAAATGGAATATAACCACACAAAAACTTCGGACACTGGTAGATTTGGGCATTTATTTTTTTTTCCACAATGGACACAATAGTCAAATATGTACTCCAATAAAATGTATATGAATTTAGCTTGGCTTATGTGAGGACTGAGAATTGTAAGGCTATTTTACTATATGTTACAAGTTACCATTTTTACTTGAAATTTAATCCCATTTTGGAAAACAACATTGGAAGTGACCTCCAATATATGTCTTGGAATGAAGTATAAGAATCAAAGAATGCTTTGGGCTGGAAAGGAACTGAAAGATCATCTCGTTCCAACCCCTCTGCTATGGGCAGGGACACCTTCCACTAACCCAGGTTGCTCCAAGCCTCATCTAGCCTGGCCTTGAACAATACCAGGGATGGAGCAAGAATAGATTAGTTGTCTCCATGTACTTATCATCTGTTTCCATGCAGCTTTGAGACCCAGTTGTCCTGAGTGGAGAATTTCAGGAGCCACAGGGTTCCCACTGGCTCCATCTCTTGGTAGTGCTGCAACACCAACATCATGTGTACAGCTGAGAGCTGGTAGTGCATATAATACAAACCCATAATGTCAGTCCAATTATGGAGATAGTCTTGTGACATCTCTTATTCTATGAAGTCAGTGTAAGAGAATCCAGCTCCTGAATGTTGCTGTTTGCATTTCTATTAATAAATGCAGTAAAAATAAAGACTACTATCCTTATTTCATACCTTAGTTGGAAGTGTATATTTATGTAAATTGAATAAAGCTGCTGGGGCTACCACTGTATTATTACTTAGACTTCACTGTAATGAGAACTGTCCATGTATAAAACCAGTTCTCTGTTCAGTGTAGCTATGCAAAGAAGGGAAGCTGAATCTATATGTTTGTATTTTGCTATTATTTATCTTCAAGGTAGGATTAACTCTGCCCAGTATTTTTCCTGTGAAACCTCGTTGTTACCTACTTATTATTAATTCATTGCTCCTATAGAAAACCACACTGAAATGTGTGTTATTCTACTGACCTTAGCAATTTACTTCAGTCTTTGGAGTGGGAGTTAAGACATCTGAGAAATGGTACAGAATGGGTTTGCGAACAGTGGAAGAGGTAAAAGCTGAAAAGACCCTGAAGCTGTCAAAAATGCAGAAAGCAGGTAAGGTGAAAGTGTCATAAAAACTTGTGTCTCAGTGCTCTAAGAATTTGATAAGAGAATCATAGCAGGAGGCAAAATTCATTTATACATCCGTTTTCTTGTGGCAGTGTCTTGCGAATACTAAATTATTAGGTGAAAATAATATTTAGACTAACAGAGCTCCTAACTAAATGATGTCATTCATAACATAGGAATATGCATATTTTTAAATTGCTTGGAATCACAGAATCATCAAAGTTGGAGGAGACTCTAAGGTCATTGAATCCAACCATTAACCTGTCACTGCTGGAACCCCTAAACCCTAACCTGTATCATTCAGCACCAGATCCAGATGCCTCTTAAACACCTCCAGGGACGGTAACTCCACCACCTCCCTGGGCAATTCCCTATTCCAGTGCCTCAACATCCTGACAGGGAAAATATTTTTCCTAATATGTCCTCTGACTCTGCCCTGTCTCAGCTCAAGGCCATTCCCTCTAGTCCTCTCCCTGCAGCCATGGCAGGACAGACCATCCCCCACCTCTCTCCAAGCCCTGTCAGGGTGTTGTAGTGAACCATGAGGTCACCCCTGAGCTGTGTAGGTTTTATAATTCCATGGAGTGATTGGCATATTTTTTCATTTGATTTCCAGGATTTCTCTACTATGAAGATCTTGTTAGCTGTGTATCTAAGGAAGAAGCGGATGCAGTAAGCTTGATTGTCAAGAATGCTGTGTGTAAATTTCTACCAGATGCTTTAGTTACCATAACTGGTGGTTTCAGGAGGTGAGTGAAAACAAATGAGGTCACTTGGCTGTTTTATTCAGGTACTCAAAACATGATGTTTGTGGCTTGGAAAAATCAAAGAAGCTCAGTGAGAAAGTATCAGAGTTTGTTTTCGATCTTTGGAGTTTTTTTATGGGCTTGTTGATTTGATGTTTGGTTTTGGTTTTCTTTAAACAGGAGAGCAATTCTATGACATTCCCAGATTCTTATGTGTTGTCACTGTGGATAGTTGGTTTGTCAGAAGAAAATCTAAGAATAGCTTGAGGGAAAAATGATGTTTAGATCACATGCTGTTCTTGAGATTTTTCTTTGCTTCTTTTGCTGGATCTGAATTCCCAAGGCTGAGAATATTTTAAAACCATGCTTGAAGGAAAGATACAATAGGTTTAAGGCAGTCTTAGTGGGGATTTTTTTCTTGTTGTTGCTCTTGGTTTGGTTTTTGGTGGTTTTTTGTTTGGGATTTTTAAAGAGATTTTAGTGACTTGAGTTTGAATTGTGCCGAGGCAGATTTTGTAGTGTTAGATTTCTGTTTTAGAGTAAACACTAGCAGATTCTGTAGCGTTAGATTTCTGTTTTAGAGTAAACACTTACTAAAATGTCTACAAAGCACTGACTGAATCAACTAAACATTAACCTCTGTGTAGATAGAGTGTTCTCAGAATTTCTGTCCTGGCTGAATTGTGTTTCTAAAATTTTTGGTCTTGCTCTGTAAAACTAAACCTGAAGCTGTTGCTCAGAACATACACAATTCATTCTTTCAGCATTTGAGAGCTTCCTTAAAGCCACATAGCAAAGTATTGAGACTGGAAATCATCTTCAGGAGTACTGATTTTCTTGCTCTGTACTCAGTCCCCTGTTATGTCCTACTTGCAGTACATGTCATGCTCATAAACCAAATAATCCCTACTCAGCACCTTAGATCTCTTGCTGCTTAATTTGCTACTTTGTAAAATTTGACTACTCTTGAAATGTAAAAATGAATTTCAAAAATACTTAGAGTGTTCTCTTAGAACTCAAAATACACAGTTCTATTGCTCTCATGCAACTAAATCTGGTACAAGAACAGAAGACAGAAGACTGTTAATAATTAATGTATCATTGTGTGATTTATTATTGAGTCTAGATAGGTCTGCATAGACTCAGTCCAGTGCTAAATTAAGACCTTATATGATTTGTAATTTCTATATACTTGCACAGTGATTCTGCTGAATGTTTTTGTCATCTTTGTGCCACCTCATGGTACTTATGATTATTCCTTGTATAACTCATATTTACTGTAAGCATATTTGCAGCCAGAGGCTTACAGGTTATGATACTGAAAATTCCCAGTTTCTCCCAATATGATGTATTTTTGAGGTATTTTGGCAGTATAGTTTGCAAAGCTTGAATCTCACACATCAAATTTCTGTTGCTTTGCTTGTTATTGTAGGGAGAGATGATAGTTAGCCATTTTCTTTTTTTTTTAATAAAGAATAAGCTTTTCTATCTCTAAATGGGTGTGGAAAGCCAGAAGAGAAATTATTTTAGTATCTAATGATGCCTACTAATGAGTAATTCTGTATATTAACCACATACCTTTAAATATAGAGGAATATATTAAACTGAGTTTCAATATGTCAGTCCTAAATGATATTTCACCAACCCATGGATAATAAATGCTGCAGTGTAGGGTTTGTAGAAGACTTGATTAAATGGATTGAGACACCTTTATTAGGCACCTATAATTTATTTCCTGAACTGCTATACTACATTTACTACATTTGTTCTTTTTTTTGCCTATCTCTTATAGTGACAGTATTCTTCAGCAAGAAATATGTGCAAGATAAGTAGGTCAGAGTTTTCAATCAACAAATTATTATTTGTTTCATCATTATGTACATATTTTAATAAAAGAAATAGGCAACATTTCTAAATCAAACAACTTGATTCCCTCATACTACATCTTGTACACTACTAACATAAGAGAAAAAAAAAAGCTCATAATTGCTCTGAATAATATATTAATTCCCCAGGATCCAGATTTGTCTTGCTTTGTATACCTGTTTTATAACTTGGAAAAAATAAGCATTTGATTGTTTTCCTCCAGATTTGACTGTAGAGTTGAAAGTCAGGAGTCTCATAAACCTTACTTATTGTGTGGAAGAACTGGATGAATTACAAGGAGCAGAACTTCCATAGTGATCTAGAGCCATGGAGATTCAATAGGGTAGAGATGAACTATGGGCAAGTTATATCCTTTTTCCCAAACCTATTAAGCACACTCATGGCTGGATATATTCAATGAGTTACAAGACCTTTTCCTTTCAATTCCTGAAATGTAGTGAAATCAGATAATGTAGAAATCCTTTTAGCCAAAATTAGGAAGCTTAGTATAAAATTCAAATAAATAGTAGGGTTTTTTTTAATTCCCAGCAAACTTGTTCATGGACTTTTCGTTTGATTTAACTTTCACCTTTAGTCTTCTGTATGGCTTCTTTTACTAGCTTTAATGTTAGTTGGTGTTTATAGCAACCATAATCATGGATGGTGCTAATGAACTATGTTTCAGGTGTAAATGAAGGGGCAGCTCAAAAGATTGAGAGCAAACACAATAGAACTCACTATCTAAAGTACAAAAGCATCAGCACATCAATCCTTCAGTAGTCAAATTGCAAGCAGAAGGGCAGGAGCAGGCTTGGCTGTCAGCTGTCTGTTAGAAAGTAATAGGAAAACAAAGAGAAGGATGGGCAATGGACACTGAAAATGATGGAGTCCTGAAGAGAAGAGACAAGGCTGTTTTGAGCACAAATTTGACTGATAGTCTGGAGTCTGTGTGAGGACTCTGGTCACTGCTTGTGTCAAAGACGTAGGATTGCAAGATTAAGCCAGTAGTTACTCATTTGCAGATTATGTAGTACTGGAGACTCTTGTGTATTTCTAATTCAGAATGTTGGAATATTCAGGAGGGGAAAAAAGCCATAGTGAAAATCAAATTACTGCTTTGTATATATGTGCTTTAATTAAATTTGAGACCTACAGGTTGATAGAATAAGGCATGAAAATTGGAACAGCTGATATAATCTTATTGAGAACATACCAAGACCTGTTTCTCTGACCAGCTGAATACAATTTCTTCCCTCTCTTATTTTAACATTCTATAGTTTCAGTTTAGCTTCCAAATCCTCTTCTCGAGGGTCACATTACTGAAGCAGACTTCGGTGTCTGTAACTTCCTTGATGCCTTTTCTTTCTGATTCATCTTTCTGCCTGTATTCACAAAACAACCCATAAATTATCTTTAATCAGAAACTCTTTCCTTGTGATTTGGGTTCAAAAAGGCATTAATACTGTTTAGTTGAAGACAACTCTCTTTTCAGCTTTCTGAATCTTTGAAGGAACGTAAAGGCTTAAAAGTAACTGAAAAAAAGGGTCATGATGGCAACCCTTCAATATCTCCCTAATCTGAATCATTCAGGAGCAGCAATGAATAAATTAATGAAGTCTGGATGAGTTTATCCCTTGTTGCTCCCCTACAGGAACACTTAGCTAACTGCCTGCAAAACATACTCCTCAAGTTTCAGGTAGTGTAGTTTCATATGAGAGGCTGGGGGGATGTTTTTCCCATCCTTTTCCAACACTTATCTGGGTCATATTGAAACAGAAATTAAAACACTGAAATGCATGGAAATACAGAAGTAGAGCAATTGTAGTTATGAAATAAATAAATCAAAGCCATATGGTGTGCAATGCATTTTGTTGTCTATCTAGGGAGGATGTGAGCTTGACTGCAGAGAATGAAGTGCCAAAGATGCTGATAGTGCAATATAAATCATACCATGGACAATGGTATCAGAAAGACTGAATTTGCCATGCAGTCTATTTGAATTGGCATGGCATTATTTTCAGTGCTCAGCCTTTCTTATTTTAAGATCTAAGTTAATAAGACAAATTCTGAAGGTGGGGAATAGCACCTCATATTACCAAAGCCACTGAGGGTGAAGTTTCCCTTCCAATATTAAGTTAAACAGAAGCCCTTGGATGGGGAGAAAAAGAAATTGATTTTAGCATGCAACATGCCTGATTAGTGTGTTTGTCCCAGCTCTATCCAGGGCAGGAGTGTACTTTAGGCTGATGTGTGTTATCCCATTTAAATGAGAGTTAAGCTGTGGACCTGATGACTTTTTCCCCTAGTTATTAAGAAAGTAATTTTATTCTATGAAGAGAATTAAGGAGTTTTCCATAGTAATAGCATTATCTCATCTTGTGTATATATCACTGAATGATACAGAGAAATTGATTCCTATTAGCAGTGCATTAATGCCATTATTAATAATAATGGCATTTTATAGGATTGTTTGTAATGACAAGTAGACAGAACTTCACACTAGGTTTCAAGGCAGTGAGACTGGAAGAGTTTTCTCCCTCTTTCCTATAGTTTTGTGTTAGTATAGGGCTTCAGAGTAACTTAAAGAAAAGGTTGTCTGGCACTGAAGCATTATCACCATGTTCTGCAAGATTCTGGGTTTCAGCTGACTTGATTTAACTCCTGGTATCTGGTTTTGCCACAAGAGTTGATCTAGTTTGAGGGTTTCCTAAGAGAAAAAATTCTTGCAGGAAGCATTATATACTACATAGAGTTATATCCTTACTGGTTATTCATATCTCAGTCTGAAAACCCAAAAAACCCAAATTTGACTGGAGAAGTTCAGAAAAGGATCAAGAATAAGAATTAAACACACTACTAAGAATATAACATGTATATATATGTAAAGCAAAACTGCATTTTCACTATGGCTTTCTGTTAGCCCTTCTGTGTGCTCTGTCCACTTAGGTTTCAATTTTCTTGTGTTCCATGTAGCATACTCAAATAGTTGTGGTTACCTCTGCAGCAAAACCACCATTGTGTCTTTTTGATGTAAGGACATAGTTACTATACCATCAGTAGGCACCTATTTTTTAGAAAATTACCTAGGCATCCTCTTGGTATTATGATCTCACTTCTGACTTTCTCAAATTATGTTT